ATGGTTTACACTTTACATGGTGTTTTAATCTACAGTCAGACAAAGAGAGCAAAGTGGCTCACATATATACATGCTGAGTTTAATTTATCCTTATGCAGTGCGTCCACACACACACACACACACACACACAGAGATTTCATAATAAAATAGTATAAAATCAATAAAATTTTATCAATTTTAGATCCTTAATTTTTAGGGGTACATGGGAACCTGTCAGAATGCCCAAGGGGTACAGAGGAACAAAAAGGTTGGGAATCCCTGGCTTAGAATAAGAATTAAAACACAGTAATATTACAAGTAGTAAAAATAAAGTTCTCCAATATTCTTTAAAATATGCAATCAAAAGACTGAGGTTCTAAAAGTTTAAGACTTCTGTCACTATACAATTAATAATCTTTACTACTTTCAAGAAACTCAAATTTGAGAAGTTTTAAATAAACTTCACATGAAATTCTACAAAATAAGAACATGAATGTTTAACCATGTTGCTATTAATACCAGTAATTCTTGGATAAGATGGTTAGCTGTGCAAAAACCCTGTCTTACACTTAATATACATACTATCCCATGTACAGTACATACATGTATTCTTTTACAGTTTAGTATGTATTACAGATATACTTACAATGGGTTTCACATTCATCTATAGGGTTTTCAGCTGTTTGAAAGTTACCAAGCTCTGGCTCATGACTTACTTCCTCTGTCACTGCTCTAGATAGGACAACAGCCAGGGAGTGGGGGCATTTCCTGCAAGTACAGGTTATAGTTGTCTACTTTTATTATAATCCATTATCTTTGTATTGAAAATTATTTAAATTCTAATTTCATACACTCAAAGTCCTTACATATTACTTTTAATAAATCAATATATTATCAAAGAACATCAGTGGTAAAATTATAATGCATTTACTTTTAAACACCCACACCCTGAAAACATTGCCTGTACTTATGCTGCATCAATTATCAGAAAAATGACATTAAACATTTGTAAATTCAATAATAAACAAAATTTGGAAACTGACAACCTCAATAATTATAACTCCAAGAAGAGCAATATATACAATGTATTCATATAATATTATCTACTCCAAAACACCTTAGGTGTGAAAAAAAAAAGGCGTGGCCAAAAAAGGATTGAGTATGCAACTTAAATTAATGAAATCAAAATTGGCAGTCAAACTGGTAGCTACATTTATAGCACTGATAAGAATTTTAGAACAAATATTCATTCATTAGTTAGCTAGGCTGCATATTTTGTTCTACCCACCATCATGCCCCAAGTTGAACAAAAAATACATTCTGGCTAACTAATGAATGAATATTTACTGTAAAATTCTTATCAATGCTATAAGTGTAGCTAGCAGTTTGGCCACCAATTTTGATTTCCTTCCTTTAAGTCACACGCTGAATTCTTTTTTGGACACCTTTTTTCACACCTAAGGTGTTTTTGGTTAGATATGACTTTTGGTCAATACACACCAACAAACCAAAGCAAGTTAAAAAATGACATTCGATAGTAACCAAAATTAGCTTTAAGGTCACAACCTTATTATTCAGAACAGATGTATACTTTACAGAACCAAGTAATGCCATGGAATTTAGGTTAACAGTTTCTTGTAATCACCACATATAATTGGTACAGCCGTATCAAGCATCATTATTTATGCTAATTACTTAAGCTAATATTATATGAGAATAAACATTGTTTAATTAGAATAATGTCATAACATTTAATCAGTTTGTGCTGAAAAGTTGGTAATGAATAATCAATAATAGCCATCCACCCATATGATTATTGTGAAAGCTTCAGCTAGAAACTGCTAATCTAGTTTGCTTAGCCTAACCAATACTTAGGCATCTGCACGTCCTTTCACCTTATAGTTTTGCTGTTCAAAAATCAGCCATCTTTAATCTGAATGACAAAAACTGAAAACAGTCCACTTTTACTTTTAGGTGAAGCTGTTAGACAGATAGCTCACGACTTTTTGTGTAGGCATGCACAAAACTTTTGGTTAAAGTTGAATAATTTTTCTTGCATGACTTTGCACTTGTGACTTATATTTACACCTAATTGTAAGTTGAAAAAAGATCTATCAGTGTACCAAATTTGAAGGAAAAAAAAAAAATTTATGAAGTTGAGTATGTTTTTCTATAAAATAAAGTTTCCGTACTTTTGGTGCAAAGAAAAAATTATAGGAAGAAATTCAAACAAAATTGGAGAGGTTATATCTCATGTATTTCTGAAAGGATTGCCTTAAAATTTGGTATGTGAAGTAAGAGTCCAGTAGAGACATCCACTGAAACATTTGATAGTTTGGATTACCACAGTCTGAGATACAGAAGGTCGAATATAACTAAACTGTTAATAACACACAGTGTCTTGTAGCAGGTTGTTTTGGCTGCACAACAAATTACTATGTGTCTCAATCATGACTACAACAAAAATACTGCATGTATAATTATATACAAGCTTCAAATTCTCTGTGTATAATTCATAATTCTGAACAAAGTCACAAAAGTATCAAACTCTTCAACAAGATACTACTGGTAGTTTTGGTAAAAGTTGAATACAGTATAATCTATATTATGATTTACAAAACTTAAAATATTTGGTAACAAACCATTTCAAGGGTATCCTGCAAGTTTCATAACACAAGCAAATATCTCTAACGTTGTAAAAAGGAAAAAAAAAAATAGCCATTTTTAAGGTGTAGGACCCACATTACAAAAATGATACAGTAATGTTTATGAGTGATTCTGAAATTTTAAATGAATGATGATGCTGTTCTATAGAGTTCACATACCTCAGTGAACAGAGGCAATTGAGGGATAAAGGTGCTAACCAATACATAGAATTCAATAATCATATTCTTAAACTTGTTGCATAGAACTATTTATGTATTGGCAGTGCAAGGAAAATACTGTAGTTGTTCTTTAGATCAGGACTTAGATTCAAACCGAGGCCATTAAGAAAAATTCCTTCTAAGCCTTAATTTTTTTGCCTTCAAAATGCCAACAACTAATCTCTTTTTTTTTTATTTAAGAATTACTGATAATCTCAGTGTAACTGGTGAACCAACTGGCATATCAACATCTCATGACCCCAAGTACACACATGCAATGTTTCTAATCCTAATATTATCACGTATGAAGAACATACATACCATTATCAGAAAAAATTTCAAATTTTCCTCTCACCTGATGTCCCAATACTGCACCTATGCCTGGTACAAAAGTTACCATTTTTTTAAATGTGTCAAATATTAGCATAGCTGGTATCCCTGCCTTAAACTAATTAGCAATGACAAACTCCTATCTTGTGGAAGATTCTATAATGTGACCATCTCAAAATGTTATCTAGTTTAATTTCTTAGAGGATCATATCTGTGGTAAGCAACTTTATTTTTTAAATTAGCATTACAACAGATCAATTATATGTATCAGTAAAACCTTAAAAAGTTATAGTTGGTCATGTTCTCAACAAGCACCACTGTTTTAGAAGTATCATGAACAGGTTCTCAATTCAATTGTTGATTAAAGCAGTGTGTGTGTGTGTGTGTGTGTTTAAAAAGTATCTGCTGTGTTATTTTCAGTATGGTAACACACAAAGATCTCTGTTTAAATGTCAGTACAAATATAAATAAAAATCGTTAACTATTCAAATATTATAATTCATGTATCTGAAATAATTGCTTCACACAAATACAAGAGTAAGAAACTAAAGCTTATGAATTGTACTTTTAATTATGCATTTCACTAAACTGACTAAATTTAAAGAGTACATTGTCATATGAGTTCACAATACTAATTTATCTGAAAGCTAGAGGAAACAGTTAACAAAACAGCTTACCTACAAATAGTATTACTATTATTTGCATAATTGCTGTAGATATTGCTTCAGGAGGTCAGCTTTTCTTACAAGACAGCCAAAGCATACACTGTCCCTTTTAAGTAAAACTAACCTAATGTTTTTATACGATAGAGGGATATTTTTCATTAATAAACTTAAAGCAACTGATAAAATTATAAACACTGATTCTAATTCATTCTCTGCCGTGGCTTGGCGCCATTTTTCCATAATGAGCGTAACACCTAACCACACAAACGTCACAATGATTATTAGAACTTTTTGAAATTCGAAGTAAAATATTTTTTTGAACGCACCATCTTACAAGTTAATTTTAACAACACTAGCTTTAAGTTTTTCTTTAAATAACACTTGAAAATAAATTAAAGCCATGTACTTTTCATTGTAATTTCAAGCTACTTTAAGTTTTAAATAACGCAAGAAAGTGGATATATGAAATACTAGAGGGACACTCAGTAGAGCGCATACCTCCGCCCAGCGGCGTTGCTCAGATTCGGTTCTAAATAAAATAAAAAAGTTTTTCTGAATGTCGGCCGTTATCAACGGACACAGACCATTTTTAGTAAGACAATGAAGAATTATATTCTACATATTTCCACCAAGTTTCATCAAAATCCGATCATTTTTTTGACTGAGTTATAGAGTAAATATAGTGTGAAAAACTGGTCCCCATGTTAAAAGACAGATTTTTCGATTTTCGTTACCCTGACCCTCCAGAACCTAATCACTTCTAAGTTGGGTCATAATACAACGTCCAAACCCATTCAAACGTTTGAGAAATCTTGCTGACAAACACACACACACACACACACACACACGAGGTGAAAACATAACATCCGTCCACCTTCGGTGGCGATGGTAAAAAACTGTTTTTAGAATAATCCTTATTTCTACCAAGTCATTTCATTTTTATTGTAGTTCTGTTTTTTGGTGTGTGTGTGTGTGTGTGTGTGTGTGTGTGTTGTGACGAGGGACTTTTAAACGAGGAATACGAATATCTGCCCCATTATAAGCACATATAATGGTCTACACTTGTTTTATCTCATTTTTTAACACTTATCGTTGTAATTTTAGTATGTTATACGCTTCCTTTACTAAATAGTTAATTACCATGGTCCAATTATCACTGCCTGCCAGCAGGTGTACATAAGAACAATGTTAAAGTTGTTTACTTCTTTTACTTATTTATTTATATAAGAACACAAAAGTTTATTTAATTAGCTATCTTCATAACCAGTTAATTCCAGTTTCGCTTGTCCTGATAGGAAATTTAAAAATATAAAATCCGCGAGTTACAATATATTCACCCAACGTAATATGATCATTCGACATGATGCAAAGGAACTGAACAACTAACACCAGAGATACAAATTTTGAGGTACTACTAGACAGCATAAAAAAACAACAACAGCAATTTGGAAAACTTAATGACCGATTCATTCTGACTCAAATCTTTATTCCAATAATATATTTATATTATATTATTTGTATTCAATAATATATTTGAACACATTTTTCCGAACTAATTTTACACCAAATTGTTTGTGGGTCCCTGACTTTGCAAGCTTCTGTCCTATAATAACATGCTAGTCAGAAAAACAATTAAACGGAAATATCGTTAGTAATGCGGTAAATTATATGAACCCACGAGTGAAAGAAAAGAACAAGTTACAATATCTCAATCAGTACATCTACTATATCCAGTGCTGACGAGGCCTTTCATCCAATAATAGGGCTCATCAGGGTGGATGGGATACGACTGACATAGTAATGGTCTGGGCACTATATATCATCAATTTTCATGAACAACAACTGAGAAAGTGTGAATCAGATTAGCAAGTGATGTCAAGCTAACTGTTATTGGAGTTTCCCATGTATT